ATCCATCCCTGCCCTCTGGCAGTGGGAGCCATTCCCTGTGTCCTGTCCCTCCATCCCTTGTCCCCAGTCCCTCTGCAGCTCTCCTGGAGCCCCTTCAGGCCCTGCCAGGGGCTCTGAGCTCTCCCTGAAGTCCCAAACCATGAGGTAAGTGTAGCCAAATTCAACATTAACTCTCAAGCTGACACTAATTGATCTTATTTTGGCCATTTTTGATCTAGCTTGGCTTAGAAAGTCATCTCAGTGCTCACCAGAGTGTGCCGTGGCCGCTCTATCCTTGCTGGATTTTTCCTCCTGTGGCAGGAGTGAAGTCCCCTGACCTTGTGCCCCTCTCCCTGTGCAGAAGATCTTCAGGACCACGATGCTGTTCCAGTTTGTGAACGTGCTGCTGCAGGTGCTGGTGCACAAGAGCCACGACCTGCTGCAGGAGGAGATCGGCATCGCCACCTACAACATGGCCTCGGTGGACTTCGACGGCTTCTACTCCGCCTTCCTGCCCGAGTTCCTGGCCAGCTGTGACGGCGTGGACTCCAACCAGAAGAACGTGCTGGGGAGGAACTTCAAAATGGACAGGGTGAGGAGGGGCCTGCAGCTTTGTGCTGTTGCCAGGATGCATTGGAGACAATTTTCCAGGGAAAGAGAAGTGTCTCGGTTTGTGTTTTTAGTGTCTGCTAAGGAAGGCAGGAGCCTCCTCTGAAATGGAGAATGTAGACCCTCACCCTCCAAATTGCTGTAAATTTTAAATTAAGGGGCTCTCAGGCAACAAAAAATATGGGAGCAGGAAATAACAGTTCTTTAATAGGGGAAAGAAAATAAAAGGATAAAATAAACAATGCAGAACACTAGAGCAACACTGACAGAGTCAGAACCCAACCTGACACCCTGTGGGTCAGGGTGTTGGTGGCAGTGCCATTGGAATTGTGGCTCAGCCCTCCTGCAGTGTCAGGGCTGGTTCTGCTGGAGCAGGGGGATCTGTAGAGAAGGATGTGTTCTTCCTCTGAAGATCCAGTGGGAGAAGAGGCAGCTGCTGTTCCTCTGGGAAAGCCAGTGGAGAAGCTGTGCTGGTGTTCCAGAATCTCCAGATTATATCCAGTTGGGAATATGGCTCCTCCCTCTGGGCTCACATCTCCCAGTGGGATGCTGTAGTTCTTATCAGCCATGCAGTGACATTCAGTAGCTGTTATCAGCAATGTCCCCTCCAGAGGGAGGAGTGATTGTGATCACTCAGAGGGAGAGATAAGGCAAAACTGCCCACTTGACAAAAGACAGCTGCCACACAGATGGTAATGGAAAACATCTTGCCTTGCAACCTGCCACAAGAAGTCCTTCCCCAGGGTCTGGGTATCAGCTCAGAGGTGGCATTTGGAGCTCTAAGGACGTGCAGGGTCCTGGTTGCTGGCAGCCAGAACACGCTGGGAATGTCTCCAGACAGTGCCTTTTGTTCCCAGCACTTCCATGCTCAGCAATCCCCAGCCAAGGGGTTACTAGGGCAGGTGGCAGAGCTGCCATTCCCCCTCAGGCTGCAGGGTGCTGTGGGAGTCAGGAAAGGTGATTCCTGGAGGAAGGTTCCCCTGGAATAGGCTGATGTGTTCCCCAGTGGGACACTCAGGTCTGTGCCTAAATCTCGCTCCAGCTGCTGGCCAGATGTTTGAGGGTTACAGCAAGGACAGCAAAGTACCTGCACAGGCTCACAATCCCTGCAAACCCCTCGTGTGTGGGGAGGAAAGGTGTGGGATATCATGGCAGAGCAGCAAGTTCTGCCTTCCATTACTGAGGGTTGTCCATTGAGTGCTCCCTGTCCTGAGGAAATTTGAGACTGAGGGTGAGGGTAGGAATGGAGCCATGGGGGAGTTGCTTGGCTCCAGATGGTGACTGTTCTTCAGGAATATCAGCTCTTGTT